GTGGTTCGCTACCACCGGATCGGTGAATTCAATCACAATCGATCCCTCACGACGCTTACCGGGCTTAATTAGCCAGCCGAGGTGTAGTATTTCGACATTATCCCGGGAACCACCCCAGGAATGGCTGTTCTGCCGGATCAGCTCCTTCGCTAGGCCTCCCATTGACTCCGGTGTCAGCTGCATCGTCTTCGTGTCAATACCGCGCGCGACTACTCCCCACGTCGGCTTTCGTACGTGTGCCGCCGGGCCGAAAGCCTTCAGCCATTCAACATGCGTACGTAGCAGCTCCGCACCAGAAGCGCTGTTAACAGTCATCTTTACATCGCCGGAGGGGAGAACCTTCGCCGCTACAAAGTAACAACCGCCGCCAAGCGGAGCACTCATCTTTCTCCGCGCGGCCGTTTCGCGTGTCCTCTCGGCTTGCTCGACGATCTCCCTTGGTGTACGACGACGGAGGGTCTCGCGGGTATCGCTATCCCGAATCTTAACGATAATCTCGCAATCCTCGCGGAGCTCAGCCGGTGAGACCCCGGCGGAAGATGAAACCTTGCTGCTGGTCCTCGGGAGGGACGGGGGGGGCCGGATCCGGTGCCCTGTCCCCATTTCTGGAGCCTAGCCCAGAAGGTCGCTGAGTCGTTCGAGCTAGTTGGTGCTGACGGTGCTGCTGCTGTCGCTGCTGCCGTCGCTTTCTCAATGTTTTCCATTCGCTGGTCGAGTCGGTTGAGTGCCTGTTGCACCTTTTCCATAGCTTGAACCTGCGGTTTCTCCCCCATCGGGGAGTTCAGTGCAAATTGTTCGACGGCCTTGACGAAGTTAATTATGTATAACTCACCAACGCCGTCGTTTTCCATGGCATTTAGCACCTCTCTGGCGCCCCGAGCAAGCTCGTTCATGGTGCCAAAGTGGTTGCGTGGTTTCTTCGGGGGCGCTCTTGAAAACTCTGTTTCGGGGGGCGAATCCGGTTTCCTTCCACCACCAACACCAGCCATCCTTCGATTCCTATGAAAATAGGGTCAAAAGATAGAGCCGGAGGTCAGAAAGAGTGTGAACAGTTTTTGAGAGCCGTGCGGCCCTTGGTTGGCGAGATAGAACAAAAATTAAATCTGGGCAAAAAGAGTTGTATTCCATGGAGTAGCAGATGGTGCCTTCAAAGGGCATACCACTGTGACAGAGGTTCCTGCCGCAAAACCACCCAAGGGAAGAGAGTCATGGACCCTGGAATGGAACGAAACTGCAAAAGATCTCCCATTTTTCAGAATGGTCACTTCTGAAGGACCCAAAGCAACAAAGGCATTGACCTTCTCCTCATTGCGGCATAACTTCACTAGCTTGGCTCAGCGCGATGGTTTCAAAGATCAGTTGCGTGTTCATTGGATTCGAGGAGGCATTGCCAACAAGATTGACCGTAAGTGCATATGTGCCGTCACGCCTCAAAATTACTAATGAATTTCAGCCAAGGCTTCTCAGGCTACTCGCGGTCAGGCTCTCGATCACCAGAATCATGACACCTATTTAAAATATCAGTATTCTCTCAAGGCACTGGATATACAGGCCTTATTCTATGATTTGGAGCCTGACTAAGAATGCCGCGATATGGAACAAAGCATGTCTCATCACCGAGACTCGAACGTGCCACTCCAACTGAATGCAGCTACGATCGAAAAATTCCAAACTGACGATGAAATTGTTGAGATGAATCAGAGAATTGCCCACATGACCCAGGAGATTGCTGGAGGATTGGAAGAAAATAGGGACCTCGTGCTTGAACGGGCTCGTCTTTATAGCAAGAAAGCAAAAAGATTGCTAGCCTGGAAGAAGGATTTTGTCGAACCAA